AAAGAATAAATGAAACATTAAAAAATATATGAAAAAAGGTGGAAGTTTCTTGCCTCAAAGATACCCAAAAATGCAAATCAAGATTACACGTCAGTGTGGCCATACTAAAACCATAATACTAATACAGAATCACCAAGACACTCCTCACTTTTTTTGAAGTTTCAGACATCATTGATGTTAACCAAAACACTTAATTCACTTCTCAAAATACTTGATGCCAGCCTCCTGAAAAACTTTCACATTCTTTATAGCTTTAGCCTCAGTGCAGCATTAGCTTATGAGTAATCCAATTAAGGAAAACATGACACATTTCAATTACCAAACATCAGAGGTACTTTGTAATAGAATCTCTTCTTGATGTTCAATTTCTCACAGCTCTCAAGCCCTGCCGCCTCTTCTGCTTCTGCCCCATGTATGGGCAAGTTAATAAGAAAGCTCATGTGTATTCTTCCTTGGCACCAATTGAGAAGTTCAGGCCCTGCAACTACAGCTCACATGCAGAAGCTTTCATCTTTGCCTCACCTCATCCATGAGATCTTGACCTGAGCTGAAGTCGGATGTTTAACTGACTGCCACCCAGGCGCCCGGAGAAGTTCCATTCTACTCCTAGTTTGTTGAATGTTTTTGGCATGAAGGAGTGTTGATTTGTGTCATAATGCTTTTTTCTGTGTCTTTTAAGATGATCACATGGTTTTTATGTTTTATTCTATTGATATCGTGAATTACATTGATGCAGTTTTGTGTATCACAGCAACTGCATTCTTGCATTCCTTGGTCATTCCCATGACCAATTCCACTTGGTCATGGTGTGTAATAAATTTAATATGTTGCCATATATCAGTTTGCTGGTATTTTGATGGAAATTTATGCATCTGTATTCATAAGAGACAGTTGTAGTTTTCTTGTGATGTCTGGGAGTATCAGGGTAATGCTGGCCTTATCGAATGAGAGAAGTGTCCTCTTTTCTGTTTTTTGTGAGGGAGAGATGATAAAGAATTGTTATTAGTTCTTTATTTGTTTTTAAAAATTTTTTTAACGTTTTATTTATTTTTGAGACAGGGAGAGACAGAGCATGAACAGAGGAGGGTCAGAAAGAGGGAGACACAGAATCTGAAACAGGCTCCAGGCTCTGAGCTGTCAGCACAGAGCCCGACGCGGGGCTCGAGCTCACAGACTGCGAGATCATGACCTGAGCCGAAGTCGGCCGCTTAACTGACTGAGCCACCCAGGCGCCCCTGTTATTAGTTCTTTAAATGTTTGGTAGAATTCAGTAGTAAAGCCATCTGGGCATGGGCTTTAATTTGTGGGTAGTGTTTGTTCAATTTCCACATATTTGTGAATTTCCCAAATTTCTGTTACTGAATTTTTTAAAAAGTAGGCTTCATACCCAGCGTGGAGCCCAATGCAGGGTTTGAACTCATGACCCTGAGATCAAGACCTGAGATGAGATCAAGAGTCAGAAGCTCAGGGTGCCTGGGTGGTTCAGTTGGTTAAGTGTCTGCAGGTCATGATCTCATTCATGGCTCATGGGTGCGAGCCCTGCATTGGGCTCTGTGCTGACAGCTCAGAGCCTGACAAATGCTTTGGATTCTCTCTCTCTCTCGCTGCCACTCACCTGCTTGTGCTCTCTCTCTGTCTTTCAAAACAAACAAACAAAAGTCGGGTGCTCAACCAACTGAGCCACCCAGGTGATTTCTAATTTCATTCCATTGGGATCAGATACTTTGTTATTTCTGTATTTTTAAATTTATTAAAGTTTGTCTTGTAGCCTAATAAATGACCTGTCTTAGGGAGTGTTCCATGTGCATTTTAGAAGAATTTGGATTCTATTGCTGTTGGGTGAGTGTGGTATGTATGTCCATTAGGTCTAGTTGGTTTATAGTGTCATTTATTTCCTTACTGATTTCCTATCTGGTTACGCTATATATTATTGAAAGTATGATAATGAAGTCTCCAACTATTATTTTTTAATTGTCTTATTTCTCCATTCACTTGTCAGTTTTAGCTTCATATATTTTGGGCTCAGTTGTGAGGTGTGTATATGTTTATAATTCCTATACCATCTTCCTAATGGATATACTCTTTTGTCATTGTAAAATGTCTCTCATTATCTCTAGTAACATTTTTCAACTTAAAGTCTATTTTTTGGGAGGTCATCTGGCTGGCACAGTCAGTAGAAGGGGTAACTCTTGATCTCAGGGTTGTAAGTTTGAGCCCACATTGGGTGTAGAGATTACTTAAAATCTTTTAAAAGAAATGTATTTTTAAAAAATATAATCGCTTTCTTATAACCATTCATGCTTGAATGAAATATGAAGTATCTTTTCCATCTTCTCCCTTTGAACATCTTTGTATCTTTAATATGTATCTCCTTAGCATATAGTTAAATATAGCTTTTTTTTTTTTTTTAATGTAGTCTGACATTCTCTGTCTTTTGTCTGGATTGTTAAATTCTTTCACACTTAATTGTTCTTATTTGATATAGTTGGATTTTTGTTTGCCATTTTATATTCTGTTTTCTGTATGTCTCCTGTCTTTTTTGTTATTTTCTATTCCATTTTCTACTGTTTTGCAGTATGTGAATATTTTTTAATGTAACATTTTTAATTCCTTTTATAATTTTTTTTCATTGTATATTTTAGAATTTACTTTCTTAGTAGTTGCTCTAGGGCTTACCAAAAAAACTTGAATTTACCATTCAGGGCCATATAGAAAAGTTACTCCTATGTAGCTTTATTCCTCCCCCATTTTGTGGTACATTGTCCATATTACATCTGTCTATGTTAGAAACCCAACAATACTTATATATAGGCATTGTTTTTATCCAATTATCTTTGAAATCAGTGAAGAGAACTTTAGTGTATCTTGTAAGGTGGGTCTGCAGGCAACAAAATCTCAATTTTTCTTATCTGGGAATACTTTTATTTGGCCTTTATCTTATTGAGTTTTCCTGGATATGGGATTCTTAGTTGATAACCCTTTCTTTGAGTAGTTCACTGCCTTCTGACCTGTTCAATTTCTGATGAGAAGTCTCATTGAGGATCCCTTGCCTTTCCAGTCTGGAAACACAGATTTCCCACTTCTGTGTGTGTTGGTGATTTTTTTTTTTCATTCTGCTTTTTTTTTTTTTTACAGTGTATATTTTTATTTATTTTTAATTTACCACCAAGTTTGTTAGCATATAGTGCAACAATAATTTCAAGAGTAGATTCCTTAATGCCTGCCCCTTACCCATTTAGCCCATCCCCCTTCCCACAACCCCTCCAGTAACCCTCTGTTTGTTCTCCATATTTAAGAGTCTCTTATGTTTTGTTCCCCTCCCTGTTTTTAATATTATTTTTGTTTCCCTTACCTTATGGTCATCTGTTTTGTATCTTAAAGTCCTCATATGAATGAAGTCATATGATATTTGTCTTTCTCTGACTAATTTAGCTTGGCATAATACCCTCTAGGTCCAGCCACGTAGTTGCAAATGGCAAGATTTCATTCTTTTTGATTGCCGAGTAATACTCCATTGTATGTATGTGTGTGTGTGTGTGTGTGTGTGTGTGTATATATATATATATATATATATATATATATATATATATATTACCACATCTTCTATATCCATTCATCCATTGATGGACGTTTGGGCTCTTTCCATACTTTAGCTATTGTCGATGGGGCTGCTATAAACATAGGGGTGCATGTGCCCCTTTGAAACAGCATCCCTGTATCCCTTGAATAAATACCTAGGAGTTCAATTGCTGGGTCATAGGGTAGTTCTATTTTTAATTTTTTGAGGAACCTCCATACTGTTTTCCAGAGTGGCTGCACCAGTTTGCAGTCCCACCAGCAGTGCAAAAGATCCTCTTTCTCCACATCCTCGCCAACATCTGTTGTTGCCGGAATTGTTAATGATAGCCATTCTGACAGGTGTGAAGTGGTATCTCATTGTGGTTTTGATTTGTATTTCCCTGATGATGAGTGATGTTGAGCTTTTTTTCATTTGTCGGTTGGCCATCTGGATGTCTTCTTTGGAGAAGTGTCTATTTATGTCTTTTGCCCATTTCTTCACTGGGTTATTTGTTTTTTGGGTGTTGAGTTTGCCAAGTTCTTTATGGATTTTGGATACTAACGCTTTATCTGGTATGTCATTTGCAAATATCTTCTCCCATTCCATTGGTTGCCTTTAGTTTTGCTGATTGTTTCCTTCGCTGTGCAGAAACCTTTTATTTGGATGACGTCCCAATAGTTCACTTTTGCCTTTGTTTCCCTTGCCTCTGGAGATGTGTTAAGAAGTTGCTACAGCTAGGATCAAAGAGGTTTTTGCCTGCTTTCTCCTCGAGGATTTTGATGGCTTCCTTTCTTACATTTAGGTCTTTCATCCATTTTGAATTTATTTTTGTGTATGATGTAAGAAAGTGGTCCTATTCTACTTCTTTCTAATAATTATTTTCCAACCTCAGGTAGTTTCCACATGCATCTTCAAATTAGTACTCATTCAAAGATGGAAGGAGGGATCCTTTTGTATATGTCCATAGCTCTTTCTCATTGCGGCTGATTTTCATTCTGTGTTCAAACTTACTGGGCTGTGATATGTGGTAGTCATTGCATTCATGTCATTCTTCCCCTTTTCTCATGAATTACTGATCTGTACTGCCTATTGTCCTGTGTCTAAAAGTTTCATATATTTTTTATTGCTTTTGAATTGTTTCATGTGGGGGAGGGTAAGTTGGTTTCTTTTATTCTATCATGCCCATAATTAGAAATCTCCATTTGATTTTCTGAAGCCTATAAATGTGTGTTATTATTAGAATTTAATGTTATTTAGGCTTGTGATTTAGGAATTTAAGGAGGTCTTTTTCAAGCATCTGAAAATATTTTTTTACTTCCCTAAAGAAAGGGTCAGGTGGGTAGCATTACTGTGCCACTTGTAAAGCTGCACCTTCCTTCACATTCAAAATCATCAAAGCCCTTACAGTGAATCCATGTCCTAAAATATTTCCCATTTACAGGATATTGCTTTATAAAAACAGAAGTAATCTTCAAGTTGGAACAAGGAGAAGACCCATGGTTATTAGAGGATGAATTTGTAAACAGAAGTTACCTGGGTGAGTTTTGGAGTACTGGCAAAAGGTATTCCTGGAAAACTAAATCCAGAATGAGAATAGTTAACAGTGAGCACCTTAGGAATTTCAGAAATGAGTAGATCCAGTAAAATGTGGGTGCAGAGGGTGTAACATAAGGGATACATGTGATTATTTTCATTTGTTCATATTTTATACTAGGCAACAGGGTATATTCATTTATACATGACAAGTCAAGTGATTTATATTTAACTAGTGCAAAGTTAAATACTAAGTAAGATTATAGAAGTAACTAAAGTGGAAGATTTAAAGGATGGGAAGAGAGGGGATATACTGATTTGATCAGTGGTTGTGTAGTAGGAAATCACTAGGTATTGCCTAATTAATAAATAAGAATTGTGTGAGATTTATAATTATAATTTACGTTCTATAAATGAACTGTAAATGCAAAAATATGACCTTATTAGATGGAAAACAGTTAATTGTACACAGAAGAGACTTATCACTGAAAATATTTTTATAAAATAAATATGTATACATTAACATGTAACAGCATAACATAAAGTTAGATGAATGTGTTTGTCATATCACTATAGATAGGCTAAAGTTAATCTGTTAGGAAAAAATGGTATGGGGATGCCTGAGTGGTTCAGTCGGTTAAGTGTCCAACTCTTGATTTTGGCTCAGGTCATGATCTCCTGGTTCGTGGGATCAAGCCCACGTTGGGCTCTGTGTTGAAGGTGTGGAGCCTGCTTGGGATTCTCTCTTTCCCTTTCTGCCCCTCCCCATGCGCATGCATGCATGTGCACCCTCTCTCTCAAATAAATAAACATTAAAAACAAAAAGAAAAAATGGTATGAGATTGTATCAAAGAGAAATACCTAAAAATAATTTAGAATGTTTATAACATGAAACAATATCAAGGCAATATACATAAAATATAATACAGGCTTAAGTTATAGGACTACTGGAAAGGTTTTGATTCACTTAAAATTTCATACAGTAATAAAAGAAACACTTTAATAAAGCTAAGTAAGTTAATGTAGAGAGGAGATGCCAAGGCTGCAAATAACTGTGTGCCAATTAAATTATAAAGATTCATAAAACAAAACTGAAAGAGATATGAGGAGAAATAGGAACACATTAGATGTAATAGGCCTATATGTACTGTTCTGATTTCATAACATAAAATTGACAGCAACTGAGATTCTAGAACATGAGTTAGTAAATCATGTTCCTTATGCTAAATCCACCTATTTGCCTGCAATTTTTGCAAATAAGCTATTTGTTGTGTATTGTTTTGTCTGCTGTTGTGGTACAACAAAATGATTGAGAAGTTGTGACTGAGATCATGTGGCCCACAATGACTAAAATATTTACCATCCAACCCTTTATAGAGAAAGTTTGTTGACCCTACTCCAGAAGATATAAATAGCATGTTTTATGACATGAGTCTAATACATATTTATATATATCTTTCAAACTCTGTACTCTGAAAGCATAGACCTTCTTTGAAGTGTCAGTGGAATAACTAAACATTTTGTGTCAAAAGGAAACAGTAAATTCTGCAAAGTGAAAGCAATTTATTTAAATTTTTTTTTTTTTAATTTTAGAGACTGAGTAGGGGAGAGGGGCAGAGGAAGAGAGAGAGAGAATCTTAAGCAGGCTGCACACTTAGCATGGAGCCTGACATGAGGCTCGATCCCATGACACTGGGATCGTGACCTGAGCCAAAATCAAGAGTTGGACACTCGACTGACTGAGCCACCTTAGCACCACAAAGTAACAGTTTAACTGCACTAGAAATTGTAGACAATATAAGACAAATTAAAATCCATTTGTAAACAACAACAAAAAAATACATATATAGTTTTAAAAAAATCCATTTGATCAAATGATTTTTAAAATCAAAATTATAAAAGTATAAAATTCAGTGTATTTGTGAACCCATGTCCACAGGTCTCCAAGAACTCAGAAAAGTTGCTATATTCAAGCTTATAGTTTATACTTGTTCTGAATAATAGTAATTCATGATAGCTGCACTTTCAATTTCGTGGAGGAAAACTTTATTAATTATAAGGGAAGGCAAATATAAAGAATTAAACAATTATAGTAAACATAAAGAGGGAGAGAAGTATAGAGAAGAACAAAGGGCTGCTACATGAAATCAGGTACTCACAACATCCAACCTTCTGGCTGGGGAAGCCCTGTGGTGGACAGCCTGGTTGGAGTCCGGATTGAGGGTCCTGGGTGGAGCATCCTCCCCTCAGATGAGACTTCACCTCACTATTCCCCCCAGGGCAGTATATATACTACCTGTGATTTATAGTTAGTCATTAAGTTTGCCTAAGTGCACACCTGAGTAGGCTGTTACTTTGTTTCTCTTATCTTTTCTCACAATCTTAGGAGCCTGGTGGCAGCATATTTCTCTTCCCTCCCTCATCCATTCTAGTGGGTCAGCCTGGTCTGGCTCAGAGAGGTGAAGCAAGTTAATCCCTCTTGGCATCAGGAACAGAAGGGCCAGTTCTGATCCTGAGGCCAGATACAGAGAACAAGCCAACTAAGCCTCCCATGATTGTGTGTGTGTGTGGCTCTGGGCACAAATGCATGACAAGTCCCACAATTTATATACAGAACAATACTACAGCAAAAAGTTACAGATAAAATCAGCAAAGGTGAAAGGCACATAGGGCAGAATCAGAGAGAGAATAGATGCAAACCTCATTTTCTTCTCCCTGTGAAGTTGTGTGAACAGTAGTTAATTCTGCCAACAGTGACATGTGACAGCATACTGAGGTATTGTTAACCAGGGAAGTTTACCCAACCTTTAGTATCCAAGGGTTTTATTGGGGGTCAGGCATGTAGCCTTGGAGTGACCTTGGTTACTCAGGCTCCAGCCCTTCCAGAGGTATACTGATACAGCTAGCTTAGGTCCCAACCATAAATCATATTGTGAGCCTGAACTTTTTGATGTGGTCCAAGCCCCCAAGGTATATGAAGATACTCTTATCAGGCAGGATATTCCAAGGGCTTGTAGGTTATCTCCCAGGAGTTGGTCAAAGGCCAGTCATTTCTTTGAAATGTGCAGGGTTTGAACACCCCAAACCTGCTGAGTTAACCCTTTATTGCACAGAACTTTTAGGCTATGGGTATAGCATTGCTTAATAGAAAATTCAAAGAATAAGAATTTTGAGAAGACTAAGCAAAGCAGAAGTAATGTATTTAAAAATAACAATTGGAAAAGTATAATGGCATAAATGAAATAGGCTAAAACATGATTCTTAGTATAAAAAGAATTAAATAAAATCCGAACAGTAGTTAGCTTATGCTGGGAAAAGGAGAGAAAGCATAATTTGGCAAGTTGCAGTGCAAACATATTTAGAAATTAGGCTGTGCAAATATTGAAATTTTTAAAACTTAGAGCAACATGAAATAAAACTGAGATAAAATAGGTATATCATGTTCATAGATTGGAATACCTTTAAACTGTTTTATTCTAATCAATTTGTTTAAACACATTTGAAGAACAGGATGGTGTAAGATCTTTTATTTTTTTAATTTTTAATTTTTTAATTTTTTTATTAAAAATTTTTTTAAATTAATTTATTTTTTTAATATATGAAATTTATTGTCAAATTGGTTTCCATACAACACCCAGTGCTCATCCCAAAAGGTGCCCTCCTCAATACCCATCACCCACCCTCCCCTCCCTCCCACCCCCCATCAACCCTCAGTTTGTTCTCAGTTTTTAACAGTCTCTTATGTTTTGGCTCTCTCCCACTCTAACCTCTTTTTTTTTTTTTTTTTTCCTTCCCTTCCCCCATGGGTTTCTGTTAAGTTTCTTAGGATCCACATAAGAGTGAAACCATATGGTATGTGTCTTTCTCTGTATGGCTTATTTCACTTAGCATCACACTCTCCAGTTCCATCCACGTTGCTACAAAAGGCCATATTTTATTCTTTCTCATTGCCACAGGTATTCCATTGTGTATATAAACCACAGTTTCTTTATCCATTCATCAGTTGATGGACATTTAGGCTCTTTCCATAATTTAGCTATTGTTGAGAGTGCTGCTATAAACATTGGGGGACAAGTGCCCCTATGCATCAGCACTCCTGTATTCCTTGGGTAAATTCCTAGCAGTGCTATTGCTGGGTCATAGGGTAGGTCTATTTTTAATTTTCTGAGGAACCTCCACACTGCTTTCCAGAGCGGCTGCACCAATTTGCATTCCCACCAACAGTGCAAGAGGGTTCCCGTTTCTCCTCATCCTCTCCAGCATCTATAGTCTCCTGATTTGTTCATTTTGGCCACTCACACTGGCGTGAGGTGATATCTGAGTGTGGTTTTGATTTGTATTTCCCTGATAAGGAGCGACGTTGAACATCTTTTCATGTGCCTGTTGGCCATCTGGATGTCTTCTTTAGAGAAGTGTCTTTTCATGTTTTCTGCCCATTTCTTCACTGGGTTATTTGTTTTTCGGGTGTGGAGTTTGGTGAGCTCTTTATAGATTTTGGATACTAGCCCTTTGTCCAATATGTCATTTGCAAATATCTTTTCCCATTCCATTGGTTGCCTTTTAGTTTTGTTGGTTGTTTCCTTTGCTGTGCAGAAGCTTTTTATCTTCATAAGGTCCCAGTAATTCACTTTTGCTTTTAATTCCCTTGCCTTTGGGGATGTGTCGAGTAAGAGATTGCTACGGCTGAGGTCAGAGAGGTCTTTTCCTGCTTTCTCCTCTAAGGTTTTGATGGTTTCCTGTCTCACATTCAGGTCCTTTATCCATTTTGAGTTTATTTTTGTAAATGGTGTGAGAAAGTGGTCTAGCTTCAACCTTCTGCATGTTGCTGTCCAGTTCTCTCAGCACCATTTGTTAAAGAGACTGTCTTTTTTCCATTGGATGTTCTTTCCTGCTTTGTCAAAGATGAGTTGGCCATACGTTTGTGGGTCTAGTTCTGGGGTTTCTATTCTATTCCATTGGTCTATGTGTCTGTTTTTGTGCCAATACCATGCTGTCTTGATGATG